GGGAGAAATCTCTGCCATTCTACCCGAACCCCAGTTTTGAAATGCTGGAGTGTTGTTACTTGTGAGCAGAAAGCATGAAGCATAGTTGTGTGTGTGGTCACTGACTCCTCTCATTGGCTTGCAGTGTTGTAACAGCCTTGCATATATTAGATAGCTGCTGTCCCTGGGGTGATGCTTCCAGCTGCGTAGATTTTGGCCAATGAAGGACTGCTACCAGCCTGCTGAAGGTATAGTTGACTTTTTTTTTTCATTGAAGGAGAAAATCAATATTAAGTTCAATAGGGATTATCCTGCCTGCTTTATACAAGCACGGTGATGCAGTGTAGCAGGCTGCCTGTTAGCTGGTCAGAGCCAATTGATCCGTGTGAAGCTGGGGAGCTTTGGATGGGTGTCAAAGCTGGATACATAAGATATGTGTGTGGCTGAAGGCTGTGCTGGTGTGTGTCTGTATTTCTTGAATAACAGCCGTATGTAATGATCTTTGCAAAGTCTGTGTTCCTCTGTGTCTCCTCAAGCTGTGCTGAAACAAAACTGGTGCTGTGCTARGGTTGATGTCTTCTAGAGTAAAGTAGTGGGGAGCCTCACAGTCCTGTCTCTGTACCTTCTTAATAGGGGATGAGGACTTAAACTCTGATCTCTCCTTCTCTCTGTGTGGCCATATGTGGAAAATGCAGATGTCAATCTTAAGATGGGATCATTTAAATGAATTCCTGTTTGTCACTTCGAGCTAGAGCAGTAACCTGACCATGGCAATAGAGATGGTTTGGATTTTCCCAGCTAATTATTGCCAGTTGTGTGTGTAGAGGTCAGATGCTATGGGTTTTGCCAAAGTAAATAGCTGAGAATGTGGGGCTGAGAAGTAAAGCCTGTGACACAGTGGAAGAGAGAAATTGYTTTAGAGAAATTGAAGTAGTAGCTAATGATGAAATATAATTTGTTGGCGTTTAATATCTAGAAAGAAATGGRGATATTTTGKTCTGAGTGTGGACTCACCCCTCMCAATTTTTTATTTCATTTGGGTGAGGAAATAACTCAGGCTTGGTAGATGGACTTTTCTTCCCTGTAGCTTTCTTTAACCTCTGACTCTACCTTGTGCGCTTAAAAGCCAAGTGCCGATGTATTTCAGTCCTGCGGAGCTTTGCTATCTCCTGGCACGGAGTGTCACTTGGCTGTGGCCATACATTTCTGAACGGTAACATCTGAAATCGTTCTTCCAGGAGAAGTGTCTGGGCACGGGCGGCTCGGCGGGCTTAGACCAGTTCTCAGCGCTGAAACATCAGCACAGGGACGGCCAGCGCCGTGTGTCCCC